GGAAGGGACAAGAGAGAGAGAAAGTGAAAGAGGAAGAAGAGATGACATGGAGGTTTTATTGTTAGACTGTGATTTAGTTTCTCTTTTGTTGCATTTTAGTCATATTGAAGGAGTCATCTGAGTTTAAGAAAAACCCAGATCTGGGTTTGATTTGGAGAAAAAGAAGAAGCGACAAGAGAGAGAAAGTGAAAGAGAAAGAAGAGATGACATGGATGGAAAAAAAATTCATTAGTTCTAAATAAAATAAAATAAAATGCCAACTCATAAAAAAAGGGTGCCATGTCATTAGTTAAGAAAAAAAAATTGATTTGCTGGCAAGTTAACGTGCTATCTGTCCATTTAACTGACGGAAGGACGGTTTTGGTATCGAAAATGAAAGTTTAAGGATAATTTTGGTACTTTTTAAAGGTGAGGGACAATTTTGGTACCAAAGTGACAAGTTGAGGGACCAAAATGGTACTTAAACCTATCTATTATGTATATTAAAATTTATTAAATAATTTATTTTTTTTTCAAATCTGGATATATATTTCGGTTAATATACTTGACTGAAATAAATTGGAAATTTCTGTCCACTTCACCCGCTTAAAATTTCCGCCCAAATTTTAAAAATTTATGTAGATATATTTCGGTCAATATACTTGACCGAAATAAGTTGGAAATTTTCGTCAATTTCGCCCACCTAAAATTTTCGCCAAAATTTTAATATTTTTTGCCAGTATATCTCGGTCAATAATATTGACCGAAATACATCTCAAAAATTCCACCACATTTTTAACATTTTGGCCATATATTTTGGTCATTTTAGCCATATATTTCAATCATTTTACTTGACCGAGATTGGGCTGGGAGAAGTGTTTTTGTGCTCTTATTTCGGTTAGTTATTAACCCCGAAAAAGTTATTTCGAATACCAAAAATAGCCCTTCCTTTAATTCGGTCAATTATATTGACCGAAATTTTTACATAAAATATTATTATTAAATTCAATCAAATTACTTGTTCGAATTGAAGTAGTTATTTTAATGATTTCCCACTTACATCTTCGGTCACTTATATTAATTGAATTGATGAGTTATTTCGGTTAAGATGAAATTGTCCGAAATACTTTTTCGTACAGAGGTTATTCAGGCTATACATTTCGATTAGTGATTTCGACCGAAATACGATTTATTCGGTCATATATGGCACTATTTCGGTCAATATGATCGACCAAAATGTGCCTTAAATCTAGTAGTGCAAAAAACCGATTCAATTCGGACAATGTGACCGAAATGCCCAACCCTAATTATTTAGGTTCTGTGTTGTCTTTCCCGTGTTTTCATATTTGGTATTCTAGTGCTTTCTAGTTGATCCCCCTATTTCATTCAATCAACTCTATTTTTATATTATTTGTATACTTTTTCAAGCACTAAATATTTAGTCCAGCAGTTAATCTCAATATATATATCGATCACAAACCGAGCATGGAATTTGAAACGAATGGATTTAATTTTTTCTGTAATCCAATGCATGCATATGTATACGTAGAAGAGGGATGTGTAAGCCACTTATTATTTTAATTTATTTCTTTTTAGGATGACAAAAGAAATTTTGACAATCCTAGTAGAGGTAATTTTAGGGAAGCAGCAATTGCGATTGCATATCATATCAATGCACCTTTTAAGTTGTCTTCTTTGTCAATTGGTGGACAAGAACACTGGCCGCCATTGCATGTAGCATAGACACCCGGTGAACACATGACAGACCTGCATTCAATAGGAAATCTGCAGCTCTGTCCCCAAGTTATTGCTTTTGTTGAAAAAAACATACCTATATACCAAAGACTTTGATTACCATATGTTTTAATGTAATTATTAATGAAGAGTATGCGTATGTGTGTATGAACAGGAGAGCTAGCAAGTGGTATGGACTATGGAGGTATATAATTAAGAGAAGACTGGAACTAACTGGTGGCTAGCAAGATAACCAAAAATGCCATCTTGAAGGAAGCTTTCTCCATGGCCTCTTTGTTGCCTTTGCTTGGAAAAGTATTGAAAGATTGTTGAATTAAATAGGATTTGATTGATTATTTGCTCAGGTGGAGCCATTATTTATAGAGTGGGATATAAGATATTCTTAAGATGTGAACACACTTATTGTAAATATTTTATACCTTAGAATATTCTCTTTGTATACCTTATACCTTAAAATATTCTCTCTGTATACCTTATACCTTAGAATATTCTCTCTGTATACCTTATACCTTAAAATATTCTCTCTGTAT